TAATTATAACAAATGCAAGATAGTGCATGTGGGTTATCACAATTTGAATTATGATTATAATTTGGATGGGAATAATCTTAACAATGTTAAGAAAGAAAGGGATCTTGATATAATAATTGTTCAGTCTCTAAAGCCATCCAAGCAGTGTGCTGTTGCTAGCAGTAGAGCAAATAGGATTTTAGGTTGTATCTAGAGATTATAACTTCACTGGTTAGGCTACATTTAGAATATTGTGTTCAGTCTTGAGCTCCTTGAGGTTTGCTAAAATGTAAAATTAATAGTAAGGATTTCTTTAAATACATTGAGGGTAAACAAAATGTTAAAATGGGGGTAGGACCCTTGAGGGATGATAAAGGAATGCTTGTATCTGATGATCATTAAACTTTGCTCTTTCTTCAGTTTTTAGTAACGAAGATTTGAGCAGTATTCCACATCCTGAACAGTTGGTAGATGGAAACAGGATGACTGCATTAATTGTGAGCTGGTTAAGAAAGAATCGGGAAGTTTAAAGAATGATAACGTTCCTGGACCAGATAATATTTCCCCAAGGGTTTCGAAAGAGGTTAAGAACTGGGTTTGTGAGCCACATTCTACTATTTTTCGTAAGTCCTTGAATAGTGGGCAGGTCCCAAAGTATTGGAAGTTAACTAATGTCACTCCTCTTTTCAAGGGAGGTAATAAAAATTGTCCCAGTAATTATAGGCCTATTAGTATTATATTAGTTGTGGGAAAAGTTTTGGAAAGTCTGTTAAAAGATGCTTTGCAAAATCATTTAACAAAATTTAGAATTTTGTTGGATAGTCAACATGGTTTCACTAAAGAAAAATCTTAGCTCACAAATCTTTTGACATTCTTTGAAGAGGTTAATGCTTATGTGAATGAGGGTAAGGGTGTAAAAGTGGTGTATCTGGATTTTTGGAAAGCATTTGACAAGGTGCCACATCAAAGGCTTGTAAAAAATTATCTCTATAGATGTGGGGGATAAGTTAGCAAATTGGATAGAAGAGTTGCTGGATAGAAGAAAGCAAAGGGTTGTTACAAATGGAGTTCAGTGAAACTGGATTAATGTCACAAGTAGGGTACCTCAGGGCTCAGTGTTAGGACCTTTGCTCTTTGTGATTTACATCAATGACATAGATGAAAGAATGTTTAATAAATTACTTGCTAGCTGTGAAGAGGATGCTGCTGATTTACAAAAAAGATTTAATTCATTTAGTAAGTTGGACAAATATATAGCAGATGGGTTTTAATTATAATAAATGCAAGATAATACATGTGGGTTATCACAATTTCAATTATGATTAAAATTTTCATGGGAATAATCTTAACAGCGTCATGAGAGAAAAGGATCTTGGTATAATGGTTGATTAGTCTCTTAAGCCATCCAAGAAGTGTGCTGTTGCTAAGGGTAGGGCAAATAGGATTTTAGGTTGTATCTACAGAAATATTGAATAGAAGTCTAAAGAGGTTTGTCAGAATTTAAAATAGAATATATAACTTTCCTTTTTGCCAATTGTCAAATAGAAAGGCTTTTAGTTATATTTCTTAATAGTGTTACATATCTGCTTGTTTGTTAATTTCTGGTAGGATTTCTTTCTGAGGAACTTCAGCAATACAAGTCCTTTCTTGATTAAACCAGTTTTTTCTTTCTCGATACAAACTTTTAGCAAACAGTAATTCCACTGTCAGTACATTTCTCGTCACTTAACAACTTTTATAATACACGCTATAAACCACAGAGATTCACAATCTCGATAACTTCGCCCAAAACTTACCGTGACTACTGTTTGCTTTATCACACATTTATTGCCACAGGCTTTCTCGGCCAGGTTTATATACTAACAAAGAGGCGTCTCTCGATCACACTTGAGCTTCCCTGAAAATTTCAGAAACTCAGTCACGCATGCTCCCAGCGTCACGTGACTTCCGCTGTCGTAACAATAGTATAAATATATACTGTGTTTCTGTTGCGCTTAGGATTCTTCTACAGTAGGTGTCTGTGACTTGTTAGCGATAAATTCAACAATGAAGAAACAGCATGCACTTCACTTGTTTTCAAAATAATATATATATGTTCAGAACAAGTTAACATATGTATAATAAATTCTTCAACACTATAGATATTATGGACATATAAATACTATATATGTAGTTCTCTCTTTCTTGTCAAATATCCACTTAGGCCTATTAAATTATGTTATAATTTCAGTATTTCTATCGTACTAGTATTCTCTGTGATTCATTTACAATTGAGGTGCAAGTTACCGTAATCGTTTGGTCTTCTTTCTTTTAAAGATTTTCTGTTCCTTTTATCAAAGTGCACTCAGGCTGATTAAATTACTTTAGAGACACGCTTTGTTGGAATAAAATTATTTTTCTTATTTTCTTTTCTACTGTTAGTTTCACTTTAACATATTAAACCTTAGGCATATGTCAATCGTTAGGCCTATCACTTTTATGGTAGTTAACTTCACACCAACCTTATTCTTTTTTGCTATTATCTGTCTGCTGTTCCCGCTCATCTCACACTATTTATATCTTTATCACTTAATCATCTGTCCACCTTCTATATTCTTGACGTCAATGAATTATTAACAAAACTTCCTACAATCGTCTGCTTTTAACTCTTATTATAATAAAATTTTCACTCACAAAAATAAATTAATCACTAATATCTAAACCAAACAGTCTTTTATATCATGACAAGGTTATAATTTCATTCTACATGTCACTGGTTAGGCCACATTTGGAATAGTGTGTTCATTCTTGGGTTCCTTACTTTAGGAAGGACATTGAGTTGTTGGAAAGGGTTTAGAGGAGGGTTACTAGAATTGTGCCTGGGATGGAGGTGTTGTCAAACGAAGAGAGATCAAGATCTCTGAAATTGTTTTCACTTGAAAAAAGAAGAGTTGGGGTAATCTGATTGAGGTATTTAAGATTGTAAAGGGAACTGATAGTGTTGATGCATCATCTTTTTTCATACTTAACAGTAAGAATATAAGGACTAGGGGACAGAAATATAAATTTTGGCAAGATAGGAGTCATCTTCAGCTAAGACAGTTATGGTATTCTAAAAATTTTGAGCATTGATCACTGTTATTAAACAGAATAAAAGTGTCATCCACATACCTTCTGTACAGAACAGGCCTAAAGTTAACTGGACAGGTGTCAAGTATGTGGATGACACTTCTTTTTTATTCTTTTTAAAACAGTTATATTTTTCTAACAGGGTGGTTTGCCTCTGGAATTGGTTGCCTACAGATGGTGTGGAGTCAGTAAATATAAGTGAGTTTAAGAGAAAGCTTGATAAGTATAAGAATGATAGGAGCTGGCTTTAAATATTTTTTAAATTAATTTATTTAATAGTTTATTTTAGAAAATGAGACAGCTGAGATGGACCAATAGGTCCCTTGTTGTCCCTAAACATTATGTTATGTACTACACCCATTTTAAATTTCATGAAATATATATATATATATATATTAGTCATCATTTTTTCTGTCTACATATATGTATAATAAACCTTTTTATTGCCCACAACAATGAATATATACAGTGTGATCTAGTTGTCTTCAGGTTATAATCCCTGTATCTTACCTGTCTAATAAAGTAAGAAGAATGTCCATTGCTACAGGAAGATGAAAGATACGACAGGTAATGTACACTTTTTTCTTTGATAACTTGTGTGTTCTGAAAAGTACAAATTTTTTATCCATTGCAAAAAATAAAATAAAGAGTAGATAGGTATAGAACCAAAAATTACATCATAAATTATAACTTATTAAAAAGATATTTATTTTTCATGCAAGAACATGCTTAGGTATATATTCATACAGTCATATAAAGAGATTTGTTTGTTAAAAATACAAGGTGCTTCCATGTTCAATAATATGCTTTATTACATAGATTACTATGCAATTAAAAAAGAAATATAGAAACAGTACACTCTCACTAATCTTGTTTTATTTCATGGTAATAAAATAAAAATGTAATGAACCAAAACATTCACTTACAAATCAATTTTTTATTAAAATACAAATACTAACATGTTCAACAGCATGTTTAGTGAGCAATCAAACAATAATGATACAAAACATCATATTAATGCAGTTTTTCTCTTGTTAGTAAAAAACACATTAAAAATGTTTAACAAATGTGGTTTAGAAGAATAATTTGTGAAAATAAATTTTCTATACCAGTGAGTTAATGATTCTAATACTTTATAAAACACAAAATACTTCCCATTTTGTGGCATTTTATCACTAATATTAAAACTTCTTTTATGACAAGTTAAAGGAACAAACATACAGATAAACAAGATTTAAATTTCAAAATAATAAAACTAATTTTATGAGATACAATTATTATTATTTTCTTTACTTGAACACAGTAGAAGACTGAATACATGTTAAGGAATTAAGTTCTTAACTCATGTTTGATTGAAAAACTTACTTCGCAAAACAGGCAAGATAAAAGTCAAGGAAAAATATCAGAAATTTTCAATATGATAATAAGAAAAATTACTTTTGAACATATGTATATATATATATTTTTAAAGTCTCAAAGTTTTACAGTTTCATTTTGATTTTAGGATTACCTAATATATAGAGTAAGTGGTCCTGACTTACTTTTCTGCATCATACTCTTTAAATAATAGCCCCAAATTCTCAAAGTCACTGAATCCTTTTTTCCTTAGCTCATTCTGTACAAATGCTACCAAGAGCTCACTAGGTATACCATTGTGTTCATCTTGTTTCCTATATCTCCGTGCAATGGTCAATATTTCATGCTCTGTGAGCTTTGTGCCTACCACTTTCAGTAACTGTTGTCTGAAATGACAATAAATGAATACTAATGTAACAGCTGGTAACAGAGATGAATGGAAACTTTCAGACCAATCATTAAAGTTAATAATACAGTACAACGTTTTCATTGGCTATCCAGTATTCAAGAAATCATGTGATTCCAGCATGAAGTTTTTGATTCAGGGTCTCTTGTTTTTTTTATTCATATAGTTAATTTTTCTTGTGTAGTGGAAAGTGGAAATATTTTTTCTAAGTTGGAATACCAATGATAAACTGTATCTTTAATGAAAGACCAGTTGCAAATGTCTTTTCCATCCATATGACTGTGAAATACTTGTATACAATTTAATACTACAGTTCATTCATGTATATGTTTGAAATAAAACAATGTGTTGTTTAAGTTATATTAAAAATATTTACATACAGGTTACGTTACTATATTAAAACCCATAGAAGGTTATCTGAGACCAGATGAATATTTTTTTCTGGAGATACACCTCCTCTCTTTTAAAATACTCCACAATTGATGCCAACTCACAGTATCTAAAATTCTGAAAGCACATACAGTTCAGAATTGCAATTTTGTCACTTAATGTATTTGTTAAAATAGTCTACAAAACAAAAGGTGAAGGAATCATGAATGCTACATCACATGAAACCTAAAAGTAGACTGATAATTTCAACCAGCCCGTATCAACATCTGAATTAAAACAAACACAAATATCAACAGAGTATATTAATCTGATGACTTTATAACTGTAAGAGCATTCTAAGTTTATAAAATGTACAGAATACCAACATTCATTGATTTACAAAATAAGAACTACAGAGTTCACTACTTTTCAGATACATCAATTGTATTATATTCATTCATGTAACTGACATCTTATACACATAGCAATGACTATAGTAAAGTATTAACATGATTGAAATATCCAAAAAAGTTACAAAAGAAACTGATCTGTAAAATTTCTAATGTTCACAATGCTTAACAATCTAACCTGGAATTCTCAAGTATTCCCTTTTTATGTTTAATAAACATGCATTATATACAAAATTAACAAAAATTTTCAAAATGAAAATAAAATCTTCAATATCATCTTATAGTTATAATCCATTTCTAGGAGTAGAAAGCATGTGTTACATATGTTTACATGTTTATATTTTAAAGTTTTTCATAGCCATTAATCTTTAGAGTGCATGTTATTCAGATGAAGACCTCCAAATACACAGTTAAAGGAATACAGTTGTTACTCCTCTGTGTTTGTTTGTTAATTTTCGTAAAAATTCTTTCCGAAGAAACTTTAGCAATACAAGTCCTTTCTTAAATAAAACTAGTTTATTCTTTCTCAATACAACTTTGCAATACACTTAATTTCCACAGTCACACTATAACTTAAACAAATGCTATAATTCACAACGAACGATTCATGCACTTCAGTCAATTGTCTGTCTCTTCTTGGCGGTCTTATATACAAGAATACCTCACATCTAGTAAACACTCGACCATTCACGAACCTTCGAGAATATCATGTTACTAGCATCACGTGACTTCCGCTGTCGTAACACAGTGTTACCAAATACAGAACCACACTTGTATATTTTGTTGGATATTTTACTATTATAATTTTTTTACTTTTAGATATCTATCTACAAATGATTCAAAATTGATTTAATGATTTAATATTTTGTACATGACTTGTTGGTTGGTTGTTTTGAAAATTCAGGCAATATTATGCACAATGGCTACACTCAGCTAGCTGTTCGTAATTTTGAACTGATTTATTACAGGGAAGATAGCTAGTTAACAGCACCCACTGCCAACTCTTGGGATACTCTGTTGAACAGTTGAATTTGAATGTCACTGTCATAAAACACACAGTCCCAAACTATGAAGCACATTCTCCAACCTGCAGTAACTGAGTGTGAACCATAATCCTTGGGGTGCACAGTCTAGCATACTAACCACTACACCACACGACTCTTTGGACATGAACAGATAAACAGTCACAAAAGTTCAAAGCTGGCCTGACTTGCCTTTTCAGGGGACTTTAAATTTCCCATTCTTGCATAACATTTTTATCAGATCATAATGCTATTATGTAATATCTGAATATTCAACCTTTAACTGACATAAGAATCTTTTTTTTTGAAAAAATACAAAAATCACCATTAAAAACCATAATTTTAAAACTTAATCTATTTAAATCACAAGATATTAAAAAATACATGATACTTATTTGACATAATTAACTTACAAGAAAATGTATCTTTACTAATTTGAAAATCACAGAAACTTAATTGTGAATAAAACATTATCATACGTTCTTACTAAAAAAGGAAATTACATAGGCTTATTATAACTTTAACAACAACAAGACAACATAACTGATAAGTGCCTACTGCATATCTACCAGTGTTTCAATGGACAATATAAAGAAGCATTTTCCTATATTCAGTTACCTCATAATTCTTAATTTTTTAAATTCCTCCCTGAAAATTATTAAAATTTCACAAATAGCTCTATAGAGCTCTATAGAAAATTAAAAACTTTATTCTGTTTCCAACCATCTTAGGATATTATATTACTCTGATGATATTATCAACTTTAACCTGGTATGAATAAAAGTTATTTTCATTGTCCATTCAGGCAAATGGGTGTTAAATTTCATTTGCTTGAAATTTATATTCAGTTGTCACTTAAATTCTCTTTTGCTTGAGTCTATAAAGCCTCTCCATGTTTCTTCTCATATTGATTCTTATTTTCTGACTGAGTTTCTTACCAAGATTTGCTTCAGAAGTGTAAAAATTCACTAGCCTGACACCTGCGACTGCGATATGTTGAGTTCAGGCTACTGTGAGTTCCATACATACTAGCACAAAGTTAGTGAGGTTCTGCTTATACAATGTGTGTAAAATACAACTCTATCTTTAATTATTCAAAATTTAAAACGTGTTGTCTGTTGTTATTTTTCCTCTCAAATTGTTAAATATCTACTATAACTGGAATTTTTGTAAGATTAGTGGACTGTAGGCCTGATATACAAATGCATATGTGTGACTTAATTACTGACTTGTCAGTTAAAATATCCAAGTATTTAGTTTTGTATTTATAAGATATTATAATCTGTATGATTATTTTTCATTGAGATTAGAATAGTTTCTTTTTAATTCAGAATTTCACTAATACAACAAGAAAAAGCTATGTTTGGGCAAAATGACTCGGACTGCCCACTCAGAACTGCATGTCCTTTTTTCCTAGGTACCAAAGTAAAGTTAACACTTTCTAACACTGAAAATGTATTTCTAATAGGTACTTACCTTCTTTCACTCATAGCTATCTCGACTTTCATTTGCCCTGTAAACATTGGTAAACTTTTTAAAAATGCACCAGTCTTTTATACCCCTATATTTTTTGCATCATTGCAGCAACATGTGCTTATCATGTAACCACCCTCCAACAAACCCATTGCACCCTCTATACTAGTGCAGGTGCAGCACAATCATCATTTTCGAAAATTGGCATATACAAACCAGAAAACACCAACAAGTCAGAGGAGAGGAAGGGTGGGAAGTGGGAGAAAAGAGGAAAGTACCTATCAGAAATACATTTTCTGTGTTAGAAAATGTTAACTTCCAAAATGGTACTACCTCTACTCCCCACATAGCTAGAATCCCACATTGGAGGGGCTGGTGAAGGTGTGAAAATAAATAATCAAGCGGAGAGCGACTGCTATGAAAAAAGCAGGTGTACCACAATTAAAATACGAACCACACCTTTGGGGTATAGTGCTAATTCTGGAACTGGTATGTTCTTCACCCAGTAAAGAAGATAAAACACATAGGGCAGAAACAAATATAATACGTGGCTATGGCTAGAAGACAGTATATGAATAGACCAAGTGCAGTCTGCCTGGGCAGAAAACATCCAGGGGAAGTGCCTTGGGATATGATGTATTATGCCAAGTGCAGTCCAAGGACATAAACAACATGGAAGCATCTTGCATAAGTTTGTAAAATCAACAAGTGTGGTCCACTCGGGCAAAAACATTCAGGGGAAGTACCTTGGATTGATATCAAGATAGCCAAGTGAGATCCACCCAGGCAAAAACATCCAGTACAAGTGCCTTGCATAATAGTTTTCATGTCATATTGTGTGTATAATATGCAGCATAACAACGACAGATCAAATCGACAAGTGTGGTATGCCCAGGCAAAAACATCTAGGGAATTGCCTTGGATGATATCAAGATAGCCAAGTGAGGTCCATCCAGGCAAAAATGTCTGGGGGAAGCCCCTTGGTATACACTGGATTATGTCAATGCAGTCAATCTGAGCAGAAAACATCCAGTGGAAGTGCCTTACATATTGTGTGTATAATATGTAGCATAACAACAACAGCCCTATACTCATCGAGTGAGTACATATGGCTAGGAGACTGTGTTATTATACAAAACCCACTCATTACGAAACCTCCACGATCCACCACTCCAGTGACTGGGAACCTGAAATGGTAAGGACCCCTGTGCTCCACAAGAAGAAAGATGGGGGTTGATGCTTTCGGGGGTCCAGAGAAACAATCCACTGGAGACAGTGCAATTGGTGTCTGCGTTTTCCTATTTTGAAAAGCAGAAAGAACCAGATTGTATGGATCAGTAGGGATGGGCAAAGATCCATCCCTATCTGCTTTACTCATGCCATCCATGAGTGATATTCCAATGGATGGATGGATGTTGATTAAAAATATGTGATATATAGATATAGATACACCACAGGAAAAGCATCCAGTGGTCTTACAGAAACACCCCCATCTCCACAGTGAGCATTGGAGACTACAGGACTAAGATATAAAATTCAGCATACCTGACCAGGCAACACCCACCACCAAGTGGGATTCTGAAATATGATGTATAAGCAATGATAAAAGAGATGAAAAAAAAAGGATAACTTTACCCCAGTTACAGACAAACAGACATGCATAGAATTACCACAGGAAAAAGACGATATCTACAAGAGAAAAATACAGCAAAGTTGTGCATAGAAAGAGTGATGAAAGTATAGGGAGTTATCCACGTACTGGCCTGGATGATCCCTCCAAACAACGGCAGTATAGAGCAGCTAACGACAGAGTTATATGACAAATTAGGTGTGAATAAGCAATATGTAGAACCGAATAACAGAGCAGGAAAATGAATTGGACAAAGGAGATGATCCAGCACCGAATGGGAATACAGATGGGAAAAGGAAGGTAAGGAAAGAGGAGAAAAGGAAAAACAACCTAACCGAGCAGCCGAAGTCCAGGAAACGAATGCTGGATCCAGATAACAAAAACATACAAGAAACAGTAAAGGATGGCATAAAAATCGGAACAATGAAGATTACATGCCAGAAGGGGAAGGTTGAGGTCATAAGAGAAATATCTTACAAGGAACAAATTGTAAAGTGTTCAAAGGAAAAACTACACAGGATAGGAAGAACAACATAAAGAACCCAATCTAGCAGAACAAAGTAAACGTATTAGATGGACCAGATGAAAGAAATGGAACTACCCGGGGAAGAAAAACTTTCTGGAAGAGAGAGAAAGGAGGGAGTTCGACAGGGAAGCTCTATAAAGAGCAACAGTTGAAACAGGGAGGAACAGAAGTACAGGAGGGATGGAAGCCCTGGGAAAAAGACCAAAGACTGAAGCAAGACTTATGCTTCTGGTACATAGACAAAGAGGAAGGGCAATAGGCATTGAAAGATGCGACATGAGGGGTGAGTCCCTGAGTTGAGACAAACAGAAAGATAGAGTATGGAGTTGTCAGGATGAAAAACGACCAATCGCAGTGGACAGAGGAGTGAACAGAATAGAGAAAGGGGCAGAGTCTGTTGCTCTACGTAGGGCCAGAGTAGAGGAAACTGTGTCAAAGCCAGCCAATCTGGAGAAACCAACAGAACACAAAAAAAGGAGGGGTCTAGATAAGGGAAAAGACCCAGGAGAGGAGGAGTCTGAATGGAGGGTAAGTATATAGGGGCAAGCCTCTCAGCTGGGGCATGTGATTGGAAAAAAGTCACTCTGAAAAAAAGGAGTGTGGAGATATCTGGATGAAAAAACATCAGATTGCAGATGACTGAGGAGCGTACCAAACAGAGAAAAGGATAAGGTGTGTTACTCCAGAAACAGCCAGAGCAGAGGGAACCACATCTGAGGGGCCAATATAGTAGAATCAGCAGAGCACAACAAGGTTTGGTCTGAATAAGGGAAAAAGACCCAGAAGATGAGTCAAATTGGAGGGTAGGCATATATGACAAGAGTAAACTCCTACTTGAGTGGGCTCCACACCTTAGATAGCTCCATTGTGTAGTAGGATCCTAACAGACTGAGCAAGATGACCAGACAAGGTACAATTCCAAGGAGGAGGGAGGAGATCTGGGAAGAGGGTAGAGAGGGTGCAAAATGGAAGTCAGAAACCCTCATAGAGAACCTATAAAAAGAGTGCAAATGGAGTGAAGTGTAGTTTAGTCAAAAAGACACATAAATTAAAGAAACTGAAATACACAGAACTAATGAACTAACAAAAAACTTAGAAATGTGTAGTCTACAAAGAACTTAAAAGTAACACACCTGCAAAAGTAAGAAAATCAACCTAAAACATAAAACAATAAGTAATACAACTGCTAAAGGGACTGATAAGATAAACTACCCTTAAAAATAGAATATATATGTCTACTCAAAGAAACTATAAGACAAAGGATACAAAAAGAAAATTTACCCTAAAGCCACCGAGTTAACAAAAACAAAGGTTGACTCAAAACTTATCACCAATTAGAAGTGACTAGTAGTAAAGATACAAAAAAAAGGAACTTATAACTAAATAACATTAGCAGTGAAAAAATTTAAAATAATAAGCCAAATTACCATAAGAAACAAACTCTAAATACAAGTTGTAAACAGATGGTAAAAGAAGCATAAAATTCGAACTTACACAACATTGACCAGAGAAGACATGAATGATGTACATTATCGAGTGCGGAAATTAGATCCATACGTTCGAGCTCACATAAACTCATTGAACATGGGTATATCTATGGGGAGTGAGAAATACACACTGAAAAACTTACCACAGATCTTCTGGGAAAAAAAAGTTTACCAATTCCTAGAGTGTAAATGAAGGTTGAGACAGCCATGGGGGAGAGGAAGTATTACCATTTTGGAAAGGCAAGAAGTTACAAATGTCAGACTGCTCTGTGTTTTATTTTTACTCTATACAACTTGGCCAGAGATTTTGCATTTTTATATATTCTGAACTAAGTCATATTTTTCAATACACCAAGAATACCAGTCTATCACATATGTAGAATGGTTAACCTGTCCACAAATTTTATGTCTGTGTCACATATCCTTCAGTAAATTGTACGATGTTTAGTTTTGTAATACTGGAAAAAGTCATTATAACAAAAAAATTGTTGGACTAGCAGAATTTCAGTTTGGGATGATACATTTCTCATGCCTACTAGCCAGGGGTTAAAACATCAACAAAAATTTTACAACCCTGTTGCTCATATTTAACTTTCAAAAATTTATTGAAGGAGACAATGAGAGGGAGAAAAACTGCTGGAAATCACTGAAATAAACAACATGGCTAAGATGAAGATGGAAGACAAAAATTTTCACAGAAAAACTTAAAGAACTAGAGTTAAACTGAATAATTTTCATGTGTGTTGGGTAATTAGACAATCATTAAAGTTAAGCCCTGAATATTTTTTATTACTAACACTTTATTTCAAAATATATTTATATCAGTATCAGTCACTATATTGAACCAAATATTTGCCCTAATCTTCCATAACATATTTTCAGAAACATCCTTAAATATCCCCAAATTTTCCCCTCATTTGTCCCATATTTATCCACTCAATTCCTTTTACAGGCTGGAAAACCAGAATAAACACTTTTTATCTATCAAAGAATACCATTAAATATGTACAAAATCAGCTGTTCAGTTTAACAACTAAAGATTGTATAATTAATAAAGAGAGAGCATGAAGACATGCAGAGCTAAACAAGTTTTTTCTTTGTGTGTACATATATTAACAAGCGTTACAACAAAATATTCCAAAATGACTTTATTAACTAGTTTTTTATCTTTTGCTCACCTACTTATCTTAACTTTCAGACTCTGCTTTGAAGTGGCACTACTTGCTACATTTTTATTATAGGGTATGCATATAATTTGTTTTCAAATAATTCAAGTTAACCTTTATGATGAGTTAATAGAGCTTCACAAAGCAATTAAAACAGAAGGTGAATGATAACTGATACACAAACCTGAAATCTTGAAAATTTATGTAGTCGGTGGCTTCTGAATCCACTTCTTTTAATGACGAATATAATTCAGAATTCTCTCCGTTCAAAATCTGCTCTAACTTCTGCATAACTTTGGTGATATCAGCTTTTGGAAACTTTAAGTAATATAGATAAAAAAAACATTTACACTCAATTTCTTTTTCTTATTTAAATGTGTATAACACATTAAGACATTCATAAAAAAAGATGTGTAAAACTCAATCATAAAATGCTTATTCTGATATTACAATTTCATAATTCAAGCATTTACTAGACTCAAGTTATAAAAATTTCAAACTGCTTGTTTTATTTTTCACATTGGATACCTTATGAAGGTAAATAGATAATGTGTAAGAAAAAGACAGTACTATGAGAAATACAAAAAAGTTGGTAACATAATTCAATAATATTATATTATATATTATATAGATTTTCAGTATTTTTATACTGAAATGACAAGTACCTTACAAACATAAGTTAATCACAAAAAGTAGCAAGAAAAAGAACTAATAAAAAGTAACATACATAAGAAAGAAAAAAAAATATATATATACATATATCTGACAAGAAGTTAATACTGTACTTCACCAATAACAGTCAATTTTTTGTTAGAAGGATTTTCATTACTCTCATAAATAGAAATAAGTTTTCTATTTCACACAAGACATAATCGATAACTTCCACAAGTATCCTACCAAATCCAGCCTTGCTGTTTTCATTGATCTAAGTAATTCACTCAATAAAACATAGAACAATAAATTTATCACCATTTTATACCAAGCATGGATCAGTGAAAACATCTTAGACTTCTTAAACACAAGAAAAATGAAAGTACAATTTAATACTACTCTTTCCAAAACTTAACCACTTTACCAGGGAATCCCCCTGGGTAATGTCCTCAGTCCCATCTTGTTTTCAATTTATCTAAATGATATTCACAAAAAATTATCCTAAGACAATAAAACTGCAACATATGCTGATGATATAATAATATGGACATCCAAATATACTCAAACAAAGCACAAGTAAGTATCAACAAAGCTTTTAGTAAGTTTTCCAAATATGCAAATAAATCAAAACTAACAATCAATCCAAGTAAATCTATGTCTGAATTTTTCACAATCAACAAACACTTACATTCCTTGAAACCTCAAATAAAACTTAATAATGAGGTTATACATTACAGTAAAACCCCCAAATATCTAGCAATAACTCCAGATCCAGGTATGACCTTTACTCAACATATCAATGTCAGCAGTTAAAGCTAAGAAAATGTTAAACATACTTAAACATCTAGCTGGAACTGGAATGCTGACTCTTCACGTCTCAGGACTACTTACATTTCATATATAATACCAGTTTTACTATATACCATACCTGCATAGATCTACACCTCAAAAACAAACTGGAATGAAATAAGTAGAATCCAATATAGTGCTGCCAAAATCAAATATGGCTAAATAAATAGTTGCCCCAGTATCATAGCTGAATTTAAGGCAGATTTCCTTCCACTAAGATCACTAGGACAGCTTCAAGCACTTAAATATATAAAAGACTGAGCCCTACAACAGAACAGGACAACAAATTAGAAAATGTAAACAAAAAATCACGACTAAAATGAAAGTCTTCAAAATGGGAAAGAAATAGAAATATTTCCCAATATTATGCTAACTGAACCAAAACAAATACTAAAACCTACACCACACAAGAACAGAAATATCGTGATAATAAACAATAACCTCGAGAAGATCTCAGAAAACTCACATGAACATCCAGACTTTCTCAGAACTCTGAGTCTAGAACTTACCAACAGCATTGATGAGGATGTTATTATTATCTATACAGATGACTTCCTTCTAGAAGGTGGAGGTTCTGAAAGAAGAATCTATTATACATCTTCAGAATATTCATTAGAAATATCACATACCAACCCCCATTGGCACTCCCATCTTCAAGGCTGAAATCATTACTATCAAAAAGGCCATCTCCCTCTTAGATAAAGCTTGTCCCATAAAATTCACAATATTAACAGATTCACAAGCTGCAGTCAGAGCAATAGAAAAGTATTTTACCATTAAAATTGCAAGAAGTTTAAACAAATTACATAAGTCTACTGAAGTCAGGATTCTTTGGATTACTTCATATGTGGTATTCCCAGGAAACAAGAAAGCTGATATCCTGGCAAAGAAAGGAGCTATGAATCAAGATCCCAGAAATAAAAACCAAATCCAAATGCACGGGATGTATCAACTGCAAATAATAATGAGGAAACTGGTGGAGAAATGGTATAAGTAAATAAATCACAAACAGTTGGTACTCAGGAAGTAAACCTGGTGTCACAATCAGTTTAAATAGACAAGACACAACCCTCATTGTAAGATTTAAATCTGGACACCTCAGGCACACAAAATTTCAAAATGGAATAAAAATCCACCCTATATGTATACAATTCACTAGAGAGAGTGAAAGCAAGTGCTTATCATATATTAATGTATTTAGAAACTACACCTGATGAACTTCATAATAACCCAAAAAGGATTCTTAGTTTAGTGGCTACACGTGAACTATCTTTGTAACCTGATCTAGGGATAAGAGACAACAACATAAAGGAAAATACAATTTCACAGGTGCCATAAAAGTTCTTGTACTAAGGATTGTTCATGATCTATTGTAACAATTTGCATAACCAATCACCTCAACCCTGGCTCTACAGGTTAAAAGCCCTGACCTTTTCTTTACAATTCAGTGCAATGCAGCATGTTACAAAAGTTTTACCAAGGAATTTGGGGTTACAACTATAATGGTAAGTTCAAACATTCAAAGAAATGGGAAAAATGCATACTAAGTGAACCCTACATACAGACTAACATACTGATACCAATATATCATGAGGAAATAGTCTTTATTTGCATGAAATGGATGTTAGTAAGATATGGCTCCATCAAGGCAAAGCATGATCAGCCACACATCCAAGTCAACTATGTAATTACTTCTACCAGAAAAGCTGCTGAAATTTGACAATTCTAGTTACTATTAATAATAAATTGTCTTAGTTATAAGTAACAGGCAAAGTACAGAAAACTTCTATGGCTACTCTACCCAAGATCATCAACTGAGTACCCTTGCTTCTAGTGTGTTTTCAGCTGTTAACCAAAGAACACCTGACATGGTTGGTAATGTTATCAAGCACTAAAGCAAGAATTATCATATGTAAAGTTTTGTGTATCATGCCTATCACATTTGGCCAATGTACTATTTAAGAAATTTAATTATACATATACATATTATTCTAGCTAACACTATATATAACTAAAATACATATTTAATTATTAAAATCCAATCCTGTGTAAATTATTATTAAAACTTACAGAAACACATACAAACTTATGTCTTATTTAGTGTGTCACAAGTTCTAACTAAATGCCTACACAACAATAGTATAGCCTGAACAAACATATGACTGCTAGAGTATCTGGTCTAATTCTACCAATCTCTAGTTCCTTTACAAGGTGCAAGCAGAAATGAGAATTCATGCTACATTATTCACAGACATCTCCCATGCTGTTCTGTGTCTTCTGATTACTCAAACAGGCCTTTGGAAATCATTGTTGATGGACTTAAGAAAACAGATAAATTAAACTTGAAAAGAGACAACATTTACCTCAGTGTATTGTGCAAAAGCTATTTACAATGGAAACTAAATTACATAGTAATAGTCTTTAAATAGGATCATCACACAGATGGTGAAAAAACTGTCTGTAAAAGACCTAGATGCTCGTCCTTGTATCATTACCACAGATCATGAATATGCAGTCCACTTGAATCAGTTTTGAAAAAAACATAAAATGAAAAAAAAACCATCTTACTTCAGTCTGCAAAAAGACCTTCCAATAAAGAGAAAAAAAATACAAGTAACTCAACAAACCTATCTTCATGATTACCAGCCTACCATTTCAGATCTTCAAAGTATCTACCATCATGTACTGTACAACATAAAACTCCTTATAAAAAGTTACACAAAATACAACAGCATTAGTACCATATCTTTTTTGAGGGGTTTACTATGTCCCACCCTTATATACTTAATAATGTAGCTATATTTTTTACCAGTATCTGTTTAGTACTCTAAAATCAACAGGTTAGGATTTCTATATCCAAGTACAGGTGTAAATGCATTTGCTATTCTTCCAATATTTTTATAAGTTAATTTTTCAACAGACATACCTGTTCTGGATGTTGTTCCATATAGCTAAGAGCAAATTCATCTGCCTCTGTAAGCAAAAACTTCAAACCAACAATATGAAGTACTGCACCAATGTACATATCACTGGTTGTATAATACTGAGAAAACGTGCTAGATGAATCTAATACTTCTGGTTTTTTCACTCTACCTCTCTCAAGAAACTTCCCTCCAGCAAGTCCTGTATGTTATATAGTGTACAACATTAGTTATAAAAACATCTATTAAATAGTAATATATGTAAATTTCACACCTCAATTCTATTCTTACTATATGAAATAAGTGTATCAAATTAATGTTTTTTATTTTCCAGAGTGAAACAAAAATATATTTATTTCATTCATACACAAGATGCTATACAAAGTTTAGGTAAAACACAATGCTGCCAATAATAAGTGCAAAAAAAGTTTAAATTATTTTATCTAAACTGTTTTAACTTTTTTATCAAAGCATAAACTTCTTTAAATATTTCAAAGTTATCTAAACTTTCAAAAATTTTAATCTATATGAGTCAGCACTAAATTGAATGATACCCAAATGTTGATATTTTTGAAAAATATCAATTAAACTTTCAAAATATTTTAAATTAGTCATATTACAATATCTATATGGTTAGAATTATTTGAGAATTTAAACAGATCTCAGAAGTTCTTTTGAAAGGAAAATAAATTATTATTTACCAACTTACCTTAAAACAAGTTAACAAAACAAAGCTATCTTCTGAAAGTTTGAATGTTACACATGAGAAAAAGGTGTTTTCAAAGACTGAGAGTCAAGTTATTCAATTACGTTAATTTTTTTATTCATACCTAAAACAAAGGACTGAAATATCATAGAACACTCTGAAGTTTATATCACTTTGATAGAATGTTTGTAATTAACATTTTTAACTCTATAATTACCAAATGGGTTTATATGGACCCCTACAAGCTTTTATAAAAGAATTTTAACTGTTTATTGCACCATATTGCTGAGGGATCCATGAATTGTACTGGTTAAAAGGTTGCTAATAAGGCTTATATCAATTACACAAAATATTTTCTATATTTCACATACAAAATGAGTGATTTCATCATATTGCTCAGTATGATGCACTATACAGTAACCTACTTCATCATAATGAGACTATTTCTTACTATATTAAACTGAGTTATCTTTCAACTTCTTTTGAATATCTTCTTTAATAGCTTTTCAATGAGTAAAATGAGTTCCAAGTACAAAAAGTATAGTAGCTAAAGTATTTCTGACAATTCTGAAAACAATAGAAATGTTAAAAGTGATGACATCAAGTAGTGAAAGTGAAGAAGATCATTTATCCATAGATGAAAATGCTCACGTTACATCATGAAAATGATGCTGCTAAGGAAAGTTATGCTGATGAAGAAATTGAAGTTTATTTGTCAAAAACAAAATAAAGAACTGGGCTTAATGGTGTGTTTTACAAAATCAGACAGCAGCCAAAAAAACAAGACTAACTAAGTATGCAAGAAGAAGTATTGACACAGCATTGTCTTCATTAAATCTGTTTTCAAAGAAAAGAATTAAGGATAAAATACTGAAATGGTCAACAAAGCTGTATATTGAAAGAAAAATGGTTACATTTGAATTCTAACAAGCTGCAATGTTTCTTCCATATGATGGTGTTAGCTGGTGTTTATAAATCAAAGAATGAAACAGCTCTGCAACCAGAAGAGTGGTAGACCAGATGTAAAACATTCCATCGAATTTCAAAATTTTTTCAATTTGATAATGATGAAAAAAACAAAGGAAAAAGTTGATCTTATAAAAAATCCTCTTCAATGAATGGGTACAAATTCTTCAGCAGTGTTATAAACCATTAGTATATGTAACCATTGAAAAGAAAGTAATCACATTCTATGGTAGATGCCACTTTAAACAATATATTCCAAACAGACCTGAAAAAATAATGGCATCAAAAGTTTGGTGTATTATGACACAACCAATGTTTATAATAAACAAACACATACAAAACCAAAGAGAGAAGGTTGTGCTAAATATATTCCAAGGGTGTATGAGGTTGGAATTGGTTATGAAATTACTGAACATATGACTAGCCACAGTTGGTACATCAATAAAAAACAAAGTGGAACTGCCATCAGAAATTATGTCAGTGAACTTGCTGCTCTAACTTCCAATTTTCCAAAGCAGACAAAAGTAGCTATGCTATTAAGTGCTATGCATAACCAACCACAAATAGACAATAATAAACTGGCAAAAAGCCAATGATGATGATCCTAGATTACAACCCCACCAGAGTTTTCTATACAACATATTAGATGTGTCATAATTCAATTTTTTCCTTCCCCTTGACCAGGATTAGGAAGTGGAATTACTCATACTACAGGAAAGTATTTTACTAACTGAGATACAGGGTTAACCCACTAGAAATTGCTAGTAAGACAATTTGTTTAACAATTGGAACTACCACATTCTTCCTCTTACAAACAAGGCCCCTTCTTGGGCTTTAACTTAGGGTCATAGGACAATCACATTGGGTATTCCAGTTTCCTTGTAATAATTTCGATTTTTAAATCTTCCATGTGCAGTATTTGAACCCAGGTCCATTCATACTGTAAATTAATACTCTACCAACTGAGCTAAAAGATTAATCTGTTAACTATTGTTAGTAAGGCACTTTTTAACAATACAAGCTACCACAGATGTATGCTAAGTGCTTTTGTTTTGACAATTCATCTTGACCCTGATTGGAATAAAGAAAGATTACAAAGAGACACCTTTTTATGCACACAAAAGATGGTGACAACAACTACAAAGTCAAAGAATGGCATTACCAGAAAGTGTGGATGTTGCAAATTCTGCACTTGAAAAATTGAAATGCAAATGTAGAGACAGGTGTGAAAAATTCCAAAATATTGCATGCAAAGAGCATTCCAAATTATTATATAAGAACTATGATGTTGAAAATTATTATATTTAGCTTATATAAATATGCACTTGTTTCCACTTTTCATACTACTTTCATTTTCTGATTTTCAAATAAAATTTTAAAGTTTTATAATGTGAATATTATTGTGTAGTAATCTCAGTATAATATGTAGAAGTATTTAGATACTGTCAATAGTGTAATTTCACATGTATAAATGCATAAAGTCCACATAGAACACGTCATTAGTGAATAATATAAAATTGGTGATTTAAGGATTAAAACAAAAACTCACCTGAATTTTGTACTGGAGGCTCATAGATTTGAATTGTACTGTCAGATAAAAAGTAGGAAAGGATGAACCTGCGACCACTGTCTACTGGGTCAGTAGTGACAAGGCAACATGAAAAACGAAGAACATCAATTTCTTTTCCACTTCTGTAAATACAATAAATACTACAGTACTTGGTACCATCCACATTTACTACTTTTCTACAAGAAATTTCTAGGTTATGTTATTTGAAATAACTTTTTCACACTAAGAGTGTACGAATTTTTTCTAAGGCATTTTGTTCAAAACCATTTACTAAAACAAATTGTTTCAAAGATGAATTGTTCAAAACCATTTACTGGTTGGTATTGTACAGTACTGTGGAAAAGTGTTAGGACAAAGTCAAAAATTAGATTTTCAGGCTACTTTCAAAGAATAATGGAAGGTAAATCACAGATGAAACATCAAAATTTTATTAATCTTCATATTTAGTACAACAGAAACTCTGTGGAAGAGCTTGAGTTCAGCAAACGGTTAATATTTTTTGTGTCCCCTTTTGCTTTAATAACTGCAGATGGTCTTTTAGGTATTGTTGCAACATATTTAATCAAAGTGTCCTTTGGGATTTTACTCCAAATGTCTCTAATACACTCCCATAAAGTTTCTTTGGAAGTAACTTTTGATTTGTCAAGTTTTAGATCTATCAAATCCCAGATCTGCTTAATTGGGTTGAGATCAATGCTCTGTGTGGGCCATTGCATCATTTGAATGACTCCAGCAGCTTCTTTCTTAGCTAAGTAATTTCTGCTTAGGTTGGATAAGTGTTTGGAGTCATTATTTTCTTGGTAGTAGAATCCTTTACTAATAATACGCAAACCACTGGGTATATCATGATGGATCAGTATCTGATGGTACTTGCGCTGGTCAATTATTCCATCTATTTTGCAAATATCTCCTGTTGCC